AAAGATGGTGACGTAGTTTAAGGGAGCAATCTCCTGCATGAGTGAATAATTTTTGTAAAATGACAAACGAGCCGTTTATGTCAAAGTAAATAAAATAGCTCCGTGTAGTTCTGCACATTATCATTTTGTTTAAATTTTGCCCATAGATAGCATTTTACTTAGTGTGTAATAAATTCTCCGTAAACATAAAAAACATACCTTCTTCTCCTCGTGCCATTTGACTCTTCAGGTTTTCACTGATGGCTTGTTGTTCACTTGCCATCTGTTCTAACTCACTGGTCGTTTTGTCTGAAGATAAAGCGTTGTATATTAATTATAGTTGAAATACATTCAAGTTAACCCATTCATGCAAGAAAAATATGTTTTACGTTCTGCCTACATTTTTCTTAAACGTATAAAAATTAAATAACAGGAAGAGAGATTCTAAAGCCTAACAAAACTTTCTCAGTAAGGGCTTTTATTTCGGTTTTCGGTTTTGGACGAAATTTATTGCGGTTTTGTGGTTTTTGGCGATTTTTTGCGCGGTGTTTCGGTTTCTAATAGGCCCCTACGCCCCCCTTAACATAGTAAATGATCTCACTGTTCACCCTCCTTATTTAATAATCTTCAATAAATTTACAGCACTTCCAAGTAATGTTAAAATATACAAGATTAGATCATTTGTTTAGGGATTAGCATAAAGAATTACCGGCGTAAAAGCAATGTTTTGTGAATTGATATTCGGTTACACCAAGAGTGGTGGGACACCGGATACTGTTATCCCGTCTTTTACGTTCTGCCTATATTTTGGTTGCGTTCTTGGATGAAACTCCTCTGTTGGTGCCAGATTCTGTCTGTTGTTTTGGTCTCCAAAGACTTGACCCATTATAACAGCTTTCCCAAGACAAAATCCATTGTCAAATAAATTTCTCCTTGCACGTTAGATTTGAGGAAGAGATGGTATCGTAGTTTCAGAGAGCAATCAACTGCATTGGTGAATAACCGATGTTCTTTTNATCATTTGTTTAGGGATTAGCATAAAGAATTACCAGCATAAAAGCAAGTGTTTTATGAATTGATGTTCGGTTACGCCAAGAGTGGTGGGACACCGGATAGTACTATCCCTTCTTATACGTTCTGCCTATATTTTGGTTGCGTTCTTGAATTAAACTCTTCTGTTGGAACCAGATTCTGTCTGCCGTTTTGGTCTCCTAAGACTTGACCCATTATAACAGCTTTCCCAAGACAAAATCCATTGTCAAATAAATTTCTCCTTGCACGTTAGATTTGAGGAAGAGATGGTATCGTAGTTTCAGAGAGCAATCAACTGCATTGGTGAATAACTGATGTTCTTTTCACGCATAATAAAAGCCAACTTTCAAAATTATGTGAAAGTAAATAAAATAGCTTAGTGTAGCTCTGGACATTATCATTTTATTTCTCTTTTGCTCTTAGATAGCCTTAAACTTGGGGTGAAATGAATTCTTCAAAAACATAAAATCTATACCTTCTTCTCCTCGTGCCATTTGACTGAAGACTGGTGCTAATTCACTGATGGCTTGTTCTTTTGTTTCCATCTGTTCTAAATCACCGGTCGTTTTGTCTGAGGATGAAGCGTTGTATATTAATTATGGTAAAAACACATTTTAGTTGCCCATACATACAATGAAATACGTTTTACCTGGTCAATCTATCACAGCTCATTCTTGCCATCATATCACCGAACATATACCTTAAACAACTAGTAGAAATACATTTAAGCTAGCCCATACATGAAGAAAATATGTTTTATCCGGTCAGTCTATATCATTACATTCTTGCCATCACGTCACCAAACATTTACCTTAAGTAACTAAAG